AAAATTTTTTTAAATTGGGACCTACATAGAGAAAATCTGATAAAACTGTAAGTAAAATGTTTTTATATTAGGACCTACATAAAGAAAATCTGATGAAACTGTAAGTAAAATGTCCTTATACTGGAACCTACATAGAGAAAATCTGATGAAACTAAGTAAAATGTCCTTATACTGGAACCTGCAAAGAGACAATCTGATGAAACTCTAAGTAAAATATCCTTATACTGGAACCTACATAGAGAAAATCTGATGAAACTGTAAGTAAAATGTCCTTATACTGGAACCTGCATAGAGACAATCTTATGAAACTTCAACTTATATGTCCTTGTACTAGAACCCAGATGCGGCGTTACGAGGGGCCGGGTTTAATCCCAAATGCGGGCCAGTTTGGCCATAGACCGACTAGCGTTGGTTTCGACAGTAGTCTTAAAAGCTGACTGTTAGTAAGCAATGACAAACTCCTGACAGTAAAATTACCTAGTGAAATCACAAACAGCCAAGAAACCTGATGGGGTTAGTTTTCAACATCATGTAAAGGATACAGTTAACTTTAAGGTAACTGTTGCATGCCACAGGGATAGTTACAGCAGAGACTAAACGATATAAAATGTAAGCACCTACAGAGATACTTTAGCTGTTGATTGTCACATCCAAGAACTAAGTTATGAAATGCCTGGAAGAGAACCCCTCTATTGGAATATTGTCAGTTGCTTTATTTTGTTGTTGTTGTTGTTTTTGTTGTTGTAAATTCTGTACATAGTCAAAAATCTGAGCGCTTTTTTGACATATACACATAACTTGCTCGTATAACCAGCCTGATACAAGAAATGCTGAACGAGAGTTAAGACGTTCGCGAGAACCAAGTTACAGTGAATAAAAACCATGAGCAGACTGCAAGAACAGCAAGTTAAACAGGGTGTGGTCAGACACTAGCACTGCGCAGGAAGCCAAGGAATAAAAAGAAAAGCACACAGAGCTGGTGTCGGCAGCTACTACATACAACCTGCTGGGACTCACTGAGAAGGGGATCTGAGCACTTATGGACTAAATGGTTTGATGTACAATGAAGATAATTTCTCGATTAACTTACTAACACAATACATTTTTCAATAAATGTGTGTTGAGTTTTCAGTCGAGCAAGTGTCTGATCTCGGTTTGTGACGGTGTGAAATACAATTTTTGAATGTATTTCAGAACAGTTTCCTAAGTAGTACAGTCCTCACAAACAACAGTAATCCAATCGCGGACTCTCTCATCTGATGTTCACATTTAATTAGATGCACCGAAACATTTTGTTCATCCTTCCTTTGAACATACAACATACATAAATCGGATAATTTAAACATTACTAGGACTGACACAAGTACTTTCTATTGGCATTAGAAAATATTCAAGTTCTCTTAACCCAGATACTTCACGTTCATTGCTGTTAAAAAAGTTCTCGGTTAAATCAGCCTATGGCATAAACTAGTGACATAAAATCAATACTTGTTAAACTTCTTGTACATATGAATAGACACTATTACTTTCAGTCAGAGAAATGGTACATTTTCTTTCTTATAAACTATACCGATGTAGCGTAAAGAGCCATTTATCACCATAGAGTGTAATATGTATAGGGTAGCATTCGAAGATGTTTGATGTGGTCAATAATAAGTCATAATACACACATACATAAACATACTCACCCAGTCTATCACATACAGTCGCATTTATGTATACATACGCATACTCACACACAGCATCACGCACAAACATATATATGAGTGTGTGTGTGTGTGTGAGTGTGTGTGTAAAATTATTGCATGTTTCAACTTTTAATATATTTAAATAAGGTCACTAGATATATGGCAATAAATTATCAGGCTGAAATGCGACACCACGCCCTACCCCTGCCTACATGGCAAAAATACTAAATACAGGAAGCAATTTCACTTTTGCTTTTTAAAGGATCATCCCATGAAATTTAACCTAATGTTTCGTTATGCATCGGCAACCTAAACAAACACCACAGAAACATTCATGCTGATCATCTCGATTATAAAAGAAAGTTCGTCAAATCCAAAAGCTGTAATTAACGAAATGTTGTTCTTCCATGTTATACTTATTGGCCTAGATCTTCTCTGCAAAAAACTAGCCACTCTGGGTACACTGGGAAATACTATTATTGTTATCATCTTTATCAGCTTCAAAGGCCCAGCTTGATAGCGTAGTTGGTTAAACCCGACTTCGCGATGACTGGGTGACGAACTCCTTGTAATCTGGGTTCACGACCGGGTGGGGGGGGGGGGGGTTAGGCAGAAAAGCCACATTTCTCCCAGATTTACCGTAACTAGCAGCTTCAAAGACACCATCAAAATAATCTTTCCAAGGTTATCAGTGGCAAATGTGAGCTTGGGATGCAGAGGTGCTGAACCACACGTGTCGATACACCAAGACACGAACGGGCGCTCGGAAAGACCTATCTACGTCTGTTCCCCGGCATCCCAGAAAAAAGTTCCTAACTGGGAATATGGATAATATAGATAGGACCGCAGTTTCTAGTCACGTGGGGCAACATCTGCATAAGAAGAGTTAAGCATAGTCTGCACACAAATAAGCCAGGTATGTTTTTTTTTTTAATCGGATGTGAACTCAACACTAATCTTCTGGGAAAAGAAGAAGCTCCAGAAGTCCACAAACAACCAAGACTTTCCGCCAGTTAATCGCCAGTGAGCTTGATTTATATATACATTGGTCTATGTTTTTTGCCTGGCTGAACAAGAATCTTATATTTATATCACCATTCAGTGCCATAGAAATTTCATCAACGGAACCTAGCCACATTTTTACCCCCCCCCCCCCCAGAATAACACATTGGCTGCATCAGTCTTGCCAAGATTACTAAACAGTATATGCGCATACCATTGTCGATTTTAAAGCACAAATGTCTGCTTCCAAATCCCTTGCATCTGAATTGAACCCGGTATGTCGCATTATGAAATTTTACTTAACACCCCCAGGCCAGAGTCGATGACTTTTTCATAGGCAAAGGGTAAATTGACCCAAAATTATATGACGTTTCGTTGTTTTTTTAAAAATATTTTTAATGATATGGTTGTAATTATTTTAATGCATAGTCATTTGTAGGTATTTACACGTGTCTGTGCTGTTCCGAGCATTCAGTTCTTTTCTGCTTAGTCACCACATCACGCGAGATTTAGGGAAATCCCATAAGGTGGGGGGGGGGGGGGGGGGGTTTAGGGTAAATAATAGTCGCTTTTCATTTAATACCAACTTTAACCACTCCCGCCCCCATTATTTGATTTTTCTAAATCTCTTGTGATGTAGTGACTTAGTATAAAAGAACCGAACATTCTTTTTCATTTTATGTAAACAATTTTTAAAACCTTTTAAATAATACTAAAAAAAAAAAAAAAAAACCGCAGTGAAGTTTGGCTGCGCTGATGTATGTATGTTTCAAGGAACGACTGCACGAATGGTTAAGAACGCAGTGCTCTTATGCCAGAGACCCAGGTTCGAAAGCACGGTACGATTAGGAATTTATTTTATCTGGGGGAGGGGGGGGGGGGCAAAAATTACAATCCTAGCCTGCACAGTTCGTGACGACAGCACTAGTCCTGCGGTCCTAAATCCTCAGGCTCAAAGACCCTTCTGCCTACACTACAAAAACGTAATGGCAATATTTGCAGTCTGACAGGCATGTACACCCATTGCTGTGGTTGATAATATTATGTTTTAAATCTCCACACTTTTCCCTGATACGATTTATGTATCAATATTCGAAAGCACCAAGAACGGTCTTATTTTCCAAAGCTGAACAATAGAATAAAACACATTAGAATTAAACTTTGTAAATTTCGTAATACTGTAAAGTTTCCAAAATTCAACACAGTCCAGTTTGGCTTTTGATGATGCCTGTGTAAAAGACAAGGTTGGTGTTGACCCTTTTGAGTGATGTGTGTGGGATTTTAATGGTGTCCTTCAGAAATTATTTTTTCTTGGAATGATTCAGCCATATGTCTTCTCACCGCACTCTTATCACACCTATTCCTTTCCTATTGTCTTATCTCTCTCCCCAAGGCTATAACTCCACATGTCAATCAATAACCTTGAACACATTTTCAAATCATAAATTTATTGTTCATTAGTTGAAGAGAGTTTAAAAGTTGCAGGTAATTTATTTTACTGGCTGTTTACTGCACTTAGTGCAGTACTTGAACTGAGCGTTTTAGAGTGTATGCAATTTTACCAACTTTCCTATAATAAACTTAATTACTTGTGGTTATTTCATTGAACTTTAAACCTGACCTCTTTAAATGACAATTTACTGTCACAATTTGGTACCGTCACAGTTTCGGATTCATCGTTTTAAAATTCCTGTCCACACACAACGAAATTCAATTTAAATTGCGTATTAGCAAAATAGAATGTGTGCTAAAATTATAGCCCCTGGAAACGTAGTAAATTGAAGGTATTGAACTAGACTGCTGTTAATAGTTTGGTTGCTGCAAGAATAATATGATGGTATTAAAGTATTAAATTCTGTTTGTGCACTTAAAATGAAAGCACACATTTTCATCAACACTGGTTATGACAATAGTCGTTGAGGAAAGCTAAGTAAAGTTTGTAGTTAAGTGGGGGGAAAAAAAGAAGCTAACTGGAGTACAGTCTAACATGCACAAGTATCAAAGTTCTTAAAACAAAGAAATTTGGCGCAAATTTGATGACATCACTCACTAATTGCTGATTGAAATGTGAAATATAGAGCTAACTTAGCATGCTCAATACACATTAAATGCATATAGCGGGTCTTTTTTGTTTGCTCTTATTATTACTATATATACAAATAGCATGTACTTTGATAATACATGCTTTGATATATTTATACACATGTGTGTCATTAATATTCTCTTTCTTAAACAGTTGGCTGGATATATGTTAGAAGATTGACCCCTGACCCAGTCTGACTCATGTAATCCTGTCTGGACTTGGATAAGATGAAACACCATCCATTGAATGCTCAGTTCAATTACAGCTTACTGAAAGCAACCGTTGCTACACCAGAACTCAACATTTCTGTCGAAATAAAATACTTGGTGATTCCAAAGCCACTAATCGAAGATGACTTATACTTTTATATCATGTTTATTATTCAAGGTATTATCTGCCAAGTCATTACGTTCTTTGGCATACTTAGTAACATTGTCAACTGCATTGTCTTTATTAAACAAGGTTTCTCGGATACAATTAATGTTAGTCTCTTTGCTCTGGCAATCTCCGATTTGTGCTCGCTGCTTAGCATCATGTGGACCAACTTCTGTTTCAGTCCAGTTGTCAGAGATTCTGGTATCCTTTCTGCAGAGATGCACATTATATCAGGTACATGGCCCCATGTTGCCTTCTCCAAAATAACCGGATGGATAACTGCCTTCATCAGCTTGGAGAGATGCGTCTGTGTCATTCGTCCATTAAAAGTCAAAACCATTTTCACTAGAAAGAGACATATCACTGCAATGGTTGTAATATTTGTTGTCACAATGGCACCTTCAAGTCTTGGGTACGTTACGACAGGACTTGGTTGGACGTTCTTCCCCGAGAAAAATAAAACGCTTATTGGACCTATCCACTATTTAGATGAAGTGAGTAGGATGTACACAGATTTTATATCGTATGCAATCTGCGGAGTGTTCATGCCTTTATCGTGTTTTGTGTCAGTTGTTGTCCTGACTACCATTCTAGTTGTTCAGCTCAACAAGAAAGCCGCCTGGAGAAAATCTGTCTCTTCGGGAACTACACAAAACAGGGCTAACATAAACGATGACGGAATGGTTACTTCAAAGGAAACAAGGATAGCCAAGATGGTTGTATTCATGTCCACTATTTTTATTGTTTCTTTTTTTCCAGCCGCTTTAATATTTTTTACTGGAATCGTTGAACCGACATTTAATTATGATCGCCTCAACAGGAATTTGGTGTTTGTGACTCTGTCTATATCATTTACTGCAGAAGTCATTAACTCCAGTGTCAACACGTTTGTGTATGTTAGAATGAGCACCAAATACCGAGAAACCTTCATGAAGCTGTTCAAAATCACAAACATTCACTGTATTCATTCAAATTCGTAGATAATGTGCATTCATTTCCAATATTTTGGTTGTATATTTCTTTAGAAATATGCTTGCATAATATGTTTGCTGTGTGTCAAATATGTGTTGAATTGAGAGCAGGCAGGTTAGCCAGGGGTATCATGAGAAGGGTCAGCAACACCTAAGTCAACTCTCATCACGAGAATTGTCTGGCAAGACCAAACACACGGAGGTGAAGCTAGCGTCAGCATGAGTTAAGTTGAATCCCGGTAATAATCGCCGTGCGTTCCACGTATCAGAGGAAGCACGAAGAACTCAGACTCATGGTATGAACTCGGGCAGGCCTCAAGAATAAGTCAGTTAAGATGAGACTGTCTTGGTGCGAGGATATGCGAAGTCCTTCGCTAGTCGAGCAAGCAATAATTCTACAGCGGGGACGTGATCATTCCTCGTCGACGTTCTGGCTCTCGGCTGTGTGTTGAGGAGACTCGTTGATTGGAATCTCAATTTGTTGTGTAGGATTCCTCGTTATGTTCTGACTCGCGACTGTGTGTCGTGAAGACGTAGGAAGTGATTAACGTCTCTAGTCAGTTCAATTTGTGTGTGCCTGTTTAATGCAATGTATTATTCGCGACAAGGCCGAGTAGGTTAATTGGAAATGACCCATTACTACTGCTAGCCATAGTTTGAGTGGCTAGCCGCTTGTCGTAGGCACAGAGGCGGCAACAGCTCGTGGGTCCAGGGACGGCAGCAAGATTCGGCTGCGTTCCACAGCGCCGCTTGTAATTCACTTGAATGATTCGGAGCATACTGTGTTATGTAAGCTCTTGAATGCCATCAGCAGCGTGTAGACTGTTTCTTGTTGAATATTTATTTATGCGTGTTGGTAGGCACGAGCGTTTTGTCGAATAAATATACTATCGGTGATCCGAGTGTTGTGTGGTGCTTAACTAACTGTGTTACTCTTCGTGACGTGAACGTTAATCATTACTAACTAGATACTTTTTCAAGTATGCGAGATAGCTCCCCTACTGTATACAACACTGAGTCAGTGATAAATGAGCACGTCATTGCAATTATTGTTGTTTTTTCAGCAATACATATTTCTGTTCATCCTTGTAAGCAGCACACAGATGGTGAATCTCAATTAAAAACTTGAACTATTTGAGTAACAAACAGTTACTTTAACAATCTTCTAGTCAAAAGAGGTGAGTTTAAGTGTAAGTAATATTTAGATCTGAAGGAATTCGACACAGACAATATGGGGCAGAAGTGGTGAAACAAATAACAGAGATGCAAAGGTTTTATACACTATGTGTCTGTGGCAGAAGACAACCAAGAAAATGATATGTCTATGGATGGCAAATTGCCAACATTCCAGGCAATAGTCTTACGCTGTGCTACATAGAGGTATGGGAATGACAGCCCATGGCGAGGGCTTCTGTGACTAACAAGACCCACCCGCGTTAAGAAAAGTCTTCCACAATCAATGTATGGGATTTAAAGACAATTGTTGCTATCATAAACAGTTTGTGTGCTTCTTTACAGACACTAAACTCTCAACCTTTCTACAATCATTAAGGAAGGGCGGGTGGGGTGGGGTTATGTTTAGATTCCTTTCCCCCTCTCCCCTTTTCTACTCAACACGGTCCATGGCATTCCCCCCCCCCTTTTTAAATCTACCTCAATAACGGTATCATTCACGTCCCGCTTGCACACATCTTTATACCATAGTAGAGATCGTCCTCAACATCTTCCACCCACCTGTAAGTAAAAAAAGTTAAGATCCCTTTACACGCCCTAGGCGCATCGGGTATATGGGAAGAGCACCCATATTTTTACAGACCAATCGGCACTCGGTGGGTAATATGGTCAGCATTACGCCGGCCGTCTTTGCGTTCCCAGGACAGCCCATCCTGGTACCCATTTGAGGCTGGGTCGACCTGCGACGTCCCATACCACAATAAAAATCCACGCAGCACACGCAGGTTTCGATCGCGATACGTTGGATTACGAGTCGGACTCGCAACGCCTTAGCCACGGACGCCGCCCATCCACCTGTATTTCACTAAAAAGGATGTCCTTAGGGACTCGACCATTCTCCATTCTCAAAGTGTGGCCAGGTCACCTGAGCCTTGAGAGACTAAGCGTTGAAAAAGCTGTGATGATACTGCTCTGTTCAAAACCGGACTGTTTCTTGTGTTCTTGGCCTGCCACCTCACGCCACGTATGAATCTACAGAGAAACCAAGAAAGGAATGGTGGGTTATTTCATACTGTAAGAATTAAAATCGTCAAACAAACAAATAGTGTTTATGTTTGGACAACTGACATGTTCCTTACTTAAATAATGTGTACGTATGCGTGATTCTATGAGTATGTAAACATGAGTGTGTGTGTGTGTGTGTGTGTGTGTGTGTGTGTGTGTGTGTGTGTGTAAGTAAGTCGTTAGTTATCAGTCTCAGTTTCAACTTCTAGTGGGCTGCGTGGTCTGTCTCGCTAGCAGCGAAAATCACACAATGTCTAATTGGATACGTTAGGCAGACTACAGTCATGACAAACCAAACGGCATACGCACACATCAAATGCATAAGTCAGCTGCCAGAAGTGCTTACGCTAATAGTCGGCTACCAAATATGCAGTTCGACGTCGACGGAACCAGCAGTTACCGTAACTTGCAGCTGCACACGTATTGCTGTATTAGACACCATTAGTTCTATGTAGTCTGCTGTGTCGAGCGTGTAAGCGAAAATTTGCGACTCGGTATGTTCTATTCAGGTGATTAATAAAATCTTTTTTTCAATGGTTTTAACTTGTGTTTATTGTCCATCTTTTGATTCCCAAAGACCACATCTTTAACTTCCAAAATGATATCTTTAACATTGAAAAAGCTTCTTTTTTACAGAATACTCCAGACTTATCAGTGTCTACAGGTGCCCGGCAACAAAATCACTCTTTTGGGGAATGGGGCTCTCAGCTCTCTTATACTTTTCTGGCACGGGGCTTGAAGGGACTTTAGCCTTGTTTAAGTTTGCATCATTTATATTACCAAAATAAAGGATGAATGGCCAATAATGCTAATTTTCTAGTAGTGTGGCTGAGCCTCCTAAGAATGATTAGCGGAGAGGAATGAGTTCCACTCCCCACCCCGGCCTCTCCACCCGCCAGTTTAATCATGACGCCTATGAATGATTGAGTTATCAAAATTTCATCCCGTTAATGTTTAGACAAGTGTTGTTTTCTTTTGCTGTTGTCTTTGGCTAGAAAGGGATGCCCTTTTTTTATTCCACTTTGTTATATAGGGGGGGAGGGGGGGGGGGGAGGGCCTTAGTGAGCCACTTCTTGCCTACCGACCCGAAAGTCTATGTTTCAAATTCACAACTCCTTCCTGTGTAGGTTTCGGGGCCCTATTTTTTTAAAAAGAAAAGAATCGACCCAATGCCCCAACAGAATCGAATAGCACAGTCACATTGTATGAGTGAAAAAGACGGAAAGGGATGGCGGGGGAGCGGGTGTAAAGGGGGGGGGGGGTGGTAAAAGGGAGCAATTATTTTTTTTTAATGATGGCCGTAAACAAGCAATGTTTGAAACCTATTCCAGATAGGTCACAGGTGTTGTGATGGTCGTTCGTTTCCTTTTTATGGGTGTATGTGTGTGTGTGTGTGTGTGTGTGTGTGTGTTTGTGTGTTTGTCTTTGCCAAAGCAATATATTATATCTTTTTAAAGAAACGTCCGTATTTGGTGGGGAGGGAGGGATGAGGGAGAGATTGGCAGAACAATGTTTCTATATTTAGAATATAAATCATGACCTCATAGTGTCTTAGCATTAAACTCGGAATGATTCTGTAACAAAATCGTTAATCATCATGTCGCAGGGACACGGTTACGATAACCTTACCTAACAAAGTGTCACGCAATGCGGGAAACAATCTTGTGCTACAATTTGAAGCACAGAGGAGTTCAATTTTCCCTACTTGATGTTCAAGCCGCCGAAAAAAAAAAAAAAAATTGTAATAAAAAAAATTTAAACTGATAGAAAAAAAAAGCCTTGTTCCTCAGGTGTACTCAACGTAAATAAACTGTCAGAAAAAGGAATGCTCAACATCATCAGGTGCCTTGCCGATTGGCGTGAGCGATCATGCCTCTCCACAATCTGCGATCTCCTGCCGCATGTATCAGTTCGTGTGCCGACACACCTGCAATGCAACAAGACTGTCAAGAATCTTCTCTCGTTGTCTTTCTCTATCTCTCCTTCCACAGATCTTTTCAGTGGTCACAAAATGTTCCAAAATGGCCGAAAAATGATAACTGTCTCCTTCTGATGTCTTTGATAAGTTTTCTGTGGGCTCCCGCCTCTTTCAAAACCTCTTAGTTGCTCTTTTTGGCTGTCCAATGTATTTTAAGCATTTTTCTGTAAAACCACATCTATGAGGCCTCAAGAAATTGTTTGTTTTGCCTACCGATTGTCCACGACGAACAGCCATATATTAAACTAAATACATGTAGCAAGCAAGAATTCTTTTTATAACCTTCAATGACAGACATGTATTGCATAAGATGTTCTTCATTTGATAAAATGCAGTTTTTGCCTGGCCTGTTCTGTTTCTTATCTAAGTATTGCATCTTCCATGTGCCCAAAAACTTATATTTCTGTACTTGTCCTCAAATAACACCATTGTCTTTTATTACACATTTAGGAATATTTCTGTGAAAACACCATTATTTCTGTCTTTCCAATATTCAAACTGAAGCCCATTTTTCCCCTTTCTGCCACCAAATGTCTATCATTTCCTGTAGTTATTTCTGACTTGGTGCTATTAAGACTGTGTCTTCAGCGTAACGTAAATTGTCCACCAATCACAATTCCGGGCATATCAATTAAAGATCTCATTATATATTCGCTGCTTAGTGAAAATAAATCAGATGACAGTACACATTATTGTTGTTCTTCCCTCTCTATGTACTAAAATGTACCTAAACAGTTGCTAATTCTTATAGCTGCAGTTTGCTGCCAATAAACATTCTTTATTATCTTTTATA